ATGTGTGGAGGCCATTTGTAGTATATGCTAATAAAAACGTGCCACCAGTGAAAAAAAGATGCTTACCTTGCTAATCTGCAAAAGAGGTGAACACATATCAATTGAATCATTAACTTAAAGTTAGTAACAAGTGTTGAGGAGTAATTGGTGGGCTGAGAAATTTGGTGTAGGATTTTTTAAGAGATAAAAAAAAACCTAAAAAAGACATTATAAAATATCAAAAAAACTGCTGCTATAGACCTTGAACTTATATTATTAAGATGTTTCAACCAGGAATCAGGGCTCCATATTGTTTATACCACTTATTCAATAACCAATTCCTGACCATACAGTTAAGGAAAAGGAAAAAAAAAAAAAACCTCAACAAAAATAGGTATCTTAAGTTCCTCATTTTATATTTCCTGGAATGTGATAGAGAAGATATTCACAGCCATTTTGCAATAAGTGATTCTGAACCTCACCTGTTCTTCTTTGAGGACATTAGCATGAGAAAATGGGTCTCATAATTTTTTTAAGAAGGAAATTGTTATTGAAAAAAAAACAAAAACAAGATTATATTATTTTTGAAAAACTAATGATTTTGGGGGCACCTGCGTGGCTCAGTTGGTTAAGCACCCAACTCTTGATTTTGGCTCAGGTCATGATCTCGTGGTTGTGGGATCAAGCCCCACATCAGGCTCCACACTGAGCATGGAACCTGCTTATGGTTCTCTCTCTTTCTCCCCCTCTTTCTCTCTGCTCCCCCCCACCACTTGTGATCTCTTTCTCAAAATAAATAAATAAACATTAAAAAAGACTAACGATTTTCTTTAAGTAAAAGTTTATAATTTTACAACAGGTGACGTGGTGTGGAATTATCCTGGGATATAAAATGATAGCTTAAAAACTGAAAAGTCTCAAAGCCCATCAGCCAGAAAAAATTAAGCAATTTTATGGGCAGAACAACTGCATTAATATGTTTAAAGTATCAGTATTTAGATAGTTAATGGGTTTAATAGGATCTATTCCATGACAAGAACGTAACCTTTAATTTCCACTTAGCAAGTTGGGGGAAATTTTAAAGCAAAGTGATTCAGGCTGGTTTATTAAGATACACAAAACTTCAAAGGCTTTAAAGAGCAGGTGTACTTAAGAGAACTACAGTAGTTCAAATCATCCTTGATTTCTAGTGAGTAATTGGCATATGAAGGACTGGATGAGTTGATCTAGTTAAAGCCTTGCTCACCATGCTAGATAGTTTGGAATTAAAATATTATACTGCATTTTCGCAAGTGGATTCGGGAAGCAGAATGAAGAATGTACGGAATGGAGGCAATTCAGTAAGGTGCCATTAGGACAATCCTGGAGAACAATTTGTGATAGTGGCATGTGAGGCCGTTATGGATGGGCTGAAGAAAAGGAAAGGATTAAGAATATTAGAATAGGCTGCCCAATGACCAACCTGATATTCAAGATGAAGCAATGATAATTCTAAGGTTTCTGTCTTAGGAAAGTTGGGATATGAATGTTCTAGTCACCAAGATAAAATAAATAGGAGAAGGCCTATTTCGGGATTTGGAAAAGGGGTAATAATGATGAGTTCAGTGCACAAGCTCTGGAGTGACACGTTTGGGTTCCAGTTCTGGTTTGCCACTTCGTTGCCATGTGACATAGGAAATTTACTTAAACTCCGTTTCCCAGTTTCCTCACATACAAAATGGAGATAGTTATAATATTGATCTCACGGTGTCACTATGAGGATTAAACAAACTCATACATATCATTACCAGTAACCACAACCCCTTCATAATCTCCATTTGTGACTCCGCTCGCTCCCACAACCTCACACCAGTAACCTTGACTTCAACGATCTTTGATTCAATTATGATCCATAAGATATTCTTCCTAACACCCATTACTGTGCCTCACTCTTCATGTTCTTACTTCCCTTACCTCCCAGCTTAACTTCCATGACCAATCCTTATAAGCATTCCATTGCATATAGTCTCAATTCCTTGGTTACTCTCTATTTGGATCGTATTTAGCAAAACAGTCTTGTTAAGGCTAGGTTATACCTATTCTACTCCTGGAGCTAGATTGAAACTAAAGAAATATGACTGAATGTGACCAGAGAAGTATACTCATCCAAGTTTACTGGTCTTACTCTAAATCTATGATGATTAACAAGTGGCTGCTCATTGTTCCCTGCCAATCAAATGGCATTTCCTTGATCCATTAAGCTCCCACATTTCTAGGTGCCTGTTGTGTAACTTCTTCCCAATCCACAAACTTCTCATACAGTTTATACCTTCCTTGCTCTCAGTAACGACCCAGCTTCCTATGTCTCTGATAAGAGAGAAGTGTCACATATGTTTTCATTCACTGCTTCCCCCTCACCAGTTTGATTGTTCTTTTTAAAATATAAATCATATTTCTGGTCAAAAATCCTCTAATGGCTTCCAACCTCACTTGAAATAAAAACTAAAGATCTTAAAATGGCCTAAATTGCCCCACAGGACATGAAAATTTTTGTGATACTTGTGAGCTTGTCCTCTACTATTCTTCTTTCTCACTTAGGCCCAGCCACTAATCTTGATGCCTTTCAGATATGACCATTTTTTCCTGCCTCTAAGCCTTTCCTCGTTCTTCCTTGGTGACTCCTCTGTGAAATTCCATCCCCAGTAAGCCACCTGGGTGACTCCCTCACATTCTTCAACTCTTCATTCAACTATCCCCTTACTGAACTCTTTCTTGACCACCCCTTTCGTAACTGCAGCACCAACATTTCTTCTCTTTTTTTCCTGTTTCAGTTTTGTCTTTTACATTTAACATACAACCAGGTAGGAAATAATTTTCTCATTTCATTGTTTATTGCTGGAATGAAAACCCCACAAAAGCAAAGATTTAATTTAGCTTTTACTGTTTTACCCCCCTGCCTATAATACTATGTGGCATCAACTAGACACTCAATAAATACTTATTGAATTAATGAATTAACCTGTTTAGCATGGTAGCTGGTATGGTATATATGTTCAATATATATGAATTATCATTATTACATTAAATAATAATAATATATTAGGCATGTAAAACAACATGGGACCTTCAAGTTGCAGCCTCATAGATTTGAGATTCAAACCTATGGATGGAGGATGAACTGTATATAAATTAACATGGTAATGAAGTCAACTAAATAAACAAGATCCCACTGGGAAGAATGTTAAGAGTGAAAAGCTGTGACATATGACGGTTGAGCACGGGATGCACCAACACGGAGCAGGAGGAAGTTATGAAAGCCAGGAAAGACAAAAAAGGAAGTCTCCAGGGAAACCAGGAGAAGAAAGACCAGGAGAATGTGGTATAATGGAAGTCAGTGAAAGGTAGGCATTCATGAAGGATGAAGAGGTCAATAGTGCCCACGTATTTCAGAGTAGAGAGTACCAAGGAAATGAGAAAATGGTAAGTGTTGAGATACAACTGATGATTAAAACTGAAGGAAGATTTCATGACTGAAATTAAATCTTCAGAATCAAGAGTATCTAAAAAAAAAAACAACGAAATAATGAGAGGGTTTGTAAGATTGCTAAAAGACAAGAATATTTGTGTAACACATGTTCTTTACCTTTGATTCTCTCAAAGAAAGAAAAGATAGAGGGTAAAAAGAATACATCTCATGCTTAACTTTATGTGACCAGAGGCTGATATAAGTGGACCAAAGAAGTAGTCCACTGTTTCAATAAATTGAATGGGTTTTACATAGGTAGCTAGAAGGTAGGATGACATAATGAATTTATTCTCAGAATTAAAATCTGAGATCTGCAACAAAACCAGTAAAATTACTATACTTTTTAAAAAGGATGAAAACATGTAAAAATTCTACAAGTCCTTTCTCTTTAAAATAACACTCTAAAAGAATAAAATGACACCCCCAATTCATCTAAAAATGTAAAGTATATTTATATGGCATTCATTATTTTTAATTAATCTTATTTGCTACAGGATGTCTAATAAATCACACACAAAGAAAGGAAATTGAGAATCGGTTATTGCTATCCTCAGCAAGGTGGAGGTATTTTCTTTTGCTCTATGTTGTAGTTTGAGAAAATTAGGAGTTTTAAATAATTTTTTTAAATAAAGACATTTAAAATACAACCAGTATTTTACAGATAATTACAAAATGAATCATAAGTGGGTGCAAATTGAGTAATTTGATTAATTTCTAGATTGACCTTTAGAAAAGTATTTGTCTAACATTTTTTAGTTGTTGTATTTTTATTATATCAAGCTGAAGTTCCAGCCACTTAATTTCCATAGTTTTTAAAAAATACAGATTGCATTATATACAAAAAAATAGTTTGTTTTGTAAAATAAGTGTTAAACTTTAGACACAATTTGGATTTTGAAATGTAAAATGAATATCATCTTTAAATATCTGCTTCTCTATCAAGGTTTGCTTTTTTTCTGGGTTACCTCACTTAACACATTTTCCACTTGCACATTTATTTAATTAAGTATTTTGCAGATAGTTAAATTTACTGTTCACTAATAAAAAATAAAATACACCTAATGGCAGTGCATAACTTTCTTCAGCGTATGTGTCCTCATTCTAGGTAGCCTCTGACCTAGATAAGAGAACTCAACGTTGCAGATATATAATGTGCATCCCCAGCAAAATTGCCCATAAGAATAACTTCATTATTCTGGGAAGCTAGATCTATAAAACATGTAAAATGTAGAAGTGTTCTGCCTATACAATTTCTGGTAAGTACAGCATGACTAAGTGATAAAGCCTTAGTCAGCTTCAGTTAGAGCATACCTTACTAAAACGTTTATTGTGCCATGAAGAGAAAAGGAAATATAGTGGGCAAAGGTGTCTACTCCGCAGTAATGAGGTCTTTTAGATCTATAGAGCTCTGCCTTGATCAATGGAAAATTAGCTCTGGAAGCATTTAGTGGTATAGTGTACCAGTCAGTCATAGAGACCCCAAGTTATAGCAGGATGATGAGAAGGAAAAACTCACCAGTACTACTGGACAGATTGTTGTGGGTGGTAAAATATGGTCCTTCAGAGGTCCGCAGTCACATTCAGGTTTGAGATGAGAAGCACATTTATTATGCAGCTAGGAAAGTAGAAAGAGGACACTATCAACTCTGGCATGACAAGAGCAAACGTACAGCAGGTATTTCAACTGAGATACAGCAAATACACTAACAATACATCAAAGGAATTACAAGAACAATTAAGATGACCATAAAGCGATTCATATTACATTTGCTTTTATACATCTACCTTAAATAAACCATTTAGCAACTTCTGTGACCCAGCCTATATATTTTCTAATTCTCAGAAATATTTATATTCAAAATATACTTTAGGCTTTACACCAATAAAAACCTGATTTCTTTGACAAACACAAATTGTTGTCTACTACGGTCCTTCCTTTGCTTATCTGTTAGCATAATCTTGAAACCACTGTGTGCTGTGGATGCTTTTTTTTTTTTTTTTTTGACCCTCCTGTTTTCTCAAAGTCATTCCAAAGTGCACAGCTCAGTATGGGGCATAATTGATCCCATCATTAGTTTTAACTTTGTAATTCAATATGTAAATGTAACCAGAGATTCATCTCAGTAGGAGCAGGATATAAATATAAGAAGATGATTATGATGATAAAATTTATCTTTATATTGTATCTATCAGCTCTACATTAAGTTAGTGTATAATTACATAATGTGTTATTTACTTTTCAACATGTATGAAACGAAACTGATATTTTTATCCATCTTGGTCACAGGTTTAAATTAAGGTTATAACCTAGTGCATTAAATAGTGATTTTTAAAATTGAGGTGGTAGTTATCATTGGAATCATACAAATTTGCTAAAGGCATCTAGGGATTTCTCCCTCTCCCGCACCATACAAAGCTAATATAAAATTATTAAAATATAAAATTTAACATAAAATATTAATACTTTAGAACAATTATACATGTTAATAAAGCAACATGCCTAGTTCAAAATAAAAGCAGAGCTGCATCACTTTTTCAGTTTGGGACCAAAAGTCACTCCATTTAAGTCATGGCTACATTAATTTCAAAAACAAACTTACCTTTGTCAGCAGTTAATTAGCAATCAAACATAAACAACTAAAGAGTATTGATTTACAGTCGGTGACAGAAATCTACTGAAGGTGTATTTCTGTTGCCCTTGAATCTAAAATATCTGTCATACTACCTCCTTGCCTGACTTAAGACTACTTGGACTGTAATTACTGCACATCAGGCCACATTATATGAAATGAAAGACCCTTTATACATTCATCCATCATTAGCAGCTCTGCTTCTCAGTGACATGTAAACCCCTTCCCAAAAGTGGCTTAATCTTCTTAACAAGCATTGCGGATCTTTGTCAAAAAGTAAGAGATGTTGAAGATAAAGAAGGTCAAGCTACATGTAAAATAGAACTAAATAAATGGGTATTCTAATTTGGCAAATGAAAATGCATGGTTACTTCAAATTAGAACTAGTGACTGGTGAAATATATTATTAAATTATTGGACTTAGTCAATTTCCTTGGAATAAATCATGGCCCTGGAATTTTGGATGTGGACTTAATGGACAATGGTTTCCTCAAAAGATGTGTTGAAGTCCTAATTCTTGATACCTGTGAATGTGAGCTTATTTGGAGAGATCTCTGTAGATGTATTCAAGGTCAGATGAAGTTTAATGGAGTAAGAGTAGCCTTAATCCAATAACTGGTGACTTCATAAGGAGAGAAAAATCTGGACATAGAGGGACAGCGATGGAGGGAAGAGGCCATGTGGCAAGAGAGGTAGAAATTTGGTGATGCAGTTATAAGCCAAGGAACACCAAGGATGGAAGGCAATCACCAGAAGCTAGGAAGAGGCAAGAAAGCATTCTCCCAAAGAGCCTTCACAGGGAGTATTATTCTGCTGACATCTTGATTTCAAATTTCTAGCCTCTATGAGAGAATAAAATTCTGTTGTTTTACGCTACTCATTTTGTGGCATTTTGTTATGGCAGTCTTAGGAAACTAATATATCCATCACTATGAAAACTGAACCCAAACCAAACACAAACGATGAGTCTTAACACTCATGTGTTAGTAGGGTGTCACAGCAAAAAAGCTCTTGTGTTTTGATCCTGCACAACCTCTTTAAAACTGAGAATGCAGACTCTCAGAAGACTCTATTTTGTAGAGATAAGATCTATAATAAAAATCCTTGTGTGTACAGAATGAGAAAACACTGAATTTTTACTCTTGACTGAAGTTTGTAAAGCCTCACACGTGACTCTGAAGGACAGAGGGGCAGGGCACTCCTAATCTCTTGCCAGCACTGACCACAGATGTGCTATCTGAAGGCCTCAGCCTCCTTCATACCTGCATTCCATGTGCTTCCAACAATTTGCAACTGATCTGGTAAAGGACAAGTGAGCTTTCTGTATAGGTATTTGAGCGTTATCAGATGTAAGAAGAGATGGCAAACATAAACTTAATGACACTTCTTTCTTTTTCCTTTTCTTTCTTTCTTTCTTTCTTTCTTTCTTTCTTTCTTTCTTTCTTTCTTTCTTCTTTCTTTCTTTCTTTCTTTCTTTCTTTCTTTCTTTCTCTCTTTCTCTCTTTCTCTCTTTCTCTCTTTCTCTCTTTCTTTCTTACCTGTTTTCCATCCAAAAAGAAAGAACTAAGGACTCCAGTAGAATCACAGTGATGAGCTCAACAGAATGTATGTACAGGGAATAACTCTTCATATCTGGGGTTGGAGATTTCAGAGTAGAAGTGCTAAATAAAGCTAGTAAGGGTTTTTTTTCAGTTTGCCTGTCACATGGCTCATATCATTGAGGTTTTTTTTAATTTTTTTTTTCAATGTTTATTTATTTTTGGGACAGAGAGAGACAGAGCATGAACGGGGGAGGGGCACAGTCATTGAGGTTTGTCGAGTCAGCTGTGAGGTAGAATCCTGCAGGAACATAGGCCAATAACAGAGACTATGAGAAAGTTGGTAACTATATGATCGTCAGTGAAACAGGGACACAGAGTGCAAGAAAATTCTCCTACCCCAAAAGTCTATATTAACTAATAATGTGCAATGATGCCTTACACCTTTTTTAAAGACTGGAATCCTATAGCTGCTAAATATATTTGGGTGGCCATAGACACCATGACATTGTATGAAGCCAAAAGTGTCAAAACTGAGGACACCATGTTGGAACTGCTGATCATTCTCATCATTCTAAAAGCTGTAAGTCAAATTTGTACAGCAGATCTAGTTTATTCACTGTATTGCTCAGAGATACACTTGAGGACAAGGGATAAAATGTGAAAGCCAAATATAATAATAATAATACATAGTTCTCAGCACTATTTATCAAGATTAAAAGTGAACATTTTTTTGCTGTGAACCTTAAACTACTCTAAAAATAAAAAGTCTATTAAAAAACAGCAAATGTCCAGAAAATAGGATATGAAAGAATTTAAAATTTCCTTCCTTCCCTTCTTCACACGAAATCTTAGGTTACTGGTAATGTTCTATTTCTTGATCAGATTCTTGTTACATGGAGCGTTCATTTGTGCAAAATTCATTGAGCTCTACCCTTAGGACATTTAAACTCTCCTGCATGTATGTTATTTTTCAATACAATCTTAAAAATGAAAAAAGCGAACATAATCAGCAACAAAAACAATTTGCTTAAACTTGTCACCATGACATTTTACAGACAAGCATATCAGTAAAAGACACAGCTGAGTCCTTTTCAGTGTCAATAAGTTGCTGAAGACTGAAAATTGTCTTAAAGATAACCCAGATCCCAAATCACCAAAAGTGTAAATACAAAAATCCTCATCAAGAATACAAATAAACTAGAGCATTGATGAATCCCAGGTCTTCAATAAAATGGCCGATAGAGCCCAGAAATAGGAAACTGTTACCTTCTTTTAAATGTTTTTATGTGTGCTTATGGTTGTGTTTGCAATTTTTTCTAAGAGTAACGCATAGGTCATTTTATTATACATACAGAAATTCCCATTTGAGTTAAGGGAATCAGACCTTTATCTACAAAATTCATAAAATACAAACCAGCTTTTCCTGGAAGTGAATTAAAGATTTGGAAATAATTTTAGAGTTTATGACAATTTCCAATAGCACCTAATTTACAGCCAGATCTATGTTTATTGGGAAAAGCTGTCTCAAGTTAGGAAGAAAAAGAAAACGTGAGAGTTTGTATGTGTGTGTGAGTGCGTACGCATGTGTGTGTGTGTGTGTGTGTGTGTGTGTGTGTATTTACAGGGAAGAGTTGAGAAAAGAGTTGGGGTACTCTATTGAAAAGAAAGCATTGGGATTTAAGAAGTCAAAGGAGGAAAAATAGGAAATATATTTTCATTTTAATTTGGAAGAAAAGAAGAGAAGTAAGTCATTCTTCCAAAGCAAAACTAAGGGACCTGATTTACAAAAACACTGTTGGTTTACACACCCTTTTATCTCTAACATTTTGCAAGTTCAGGTTGCTACTTTAATGCAAGCTTTTGCTAAAGCATAATATTCCTGTTGGAAAGGTATTGGAAACCTTTAAACACTACTGCTGGTGGCCTAATATTCTAATAATGTAGTAGCACTCATGATACCAAAAGTAAATAATTCATAGCCACAATATAGGCTTTCTTTAGTCAAGTTCAAATGAAATATATCACCCTCCTATCCTGGGGAGCTCTACCTGACCAGGGACATTTAACTACAATGAGGAGCAAATTACAACTTGTTTTAAATAGAATGTCAAGGAAATAAACTCTCAACAGAAATGAAAACGTATAAATAGTGGGATCTTGGGATCAGAGAATGTAAACAAGAGAAGGAAGAGAGAATCAATGAACATATTTAGTATGACTGATTGAATTATAAAAATGTAATAAAACGGTTTCATAAATGCTAGAAGATAGTTTACACTATTCCTACTTAGGAGTTTTCTGTTTTTATTTTTTCACGTAAGGTGAAAAAACAGGAGATAAAACAGGAGATAAAACTCTATTTTCTAAGAGTTTACAATCTACAATCTGGCAAAAAGTATCATTTCAAGAAGCCACAACTGCTGACTAAAAAGGAAGTATTAAAA